ATGTATATATGTATATATATATATATATGCGTATATATATGTACATATATATGCGTATATATATGTACATATATATGCGTATATATGTGTACATATATATGCGTATATATGTGTACATATATATGCGTATATATATGTACATATATATGCGTATATATATGTACATATATATGCGTATATATATGTACATATATATGCGTATATATATGTACATATATATGCGTATATATATGTACATATATATGCGTATATATATGTACATATATATGCGTATATATATGTACATATATATGCGTATATATATGTACATATATATGCGTATATATATGTACATATATATGCGTATATATATGTACATATATATGCGTATATATATGTACATATATATGCGTATATATATGTACATATATATGCGTATATATATGTACATATATATGCGTATATATATGTACATATATATGCGTATATATATGTACATATATATGCGTATATATATGTACATATATATGCGTATATATATGTACATATATATGCGTATATATATGTACATATATATGCGTATATATATGTACATATATATGCGTATATATATGTACATATATATGCGTATATATATGTACATATATATGCGTATATATACATATAAATGCGTATATATATAAGTATATACATATATAAATATAAATATATATATATAAATATATTATATATATATATATATTTATATATATATGTATATATATATATTATATATATACATATATGTATATATATATGTATATATAAATGTATATATATATATATTTTATATTCATATGAGAGCACTGGCGTGGCCACGGGGGGGTATGGGGGGGCAATTGCCCCCCCACTTTTGCCAAAAGATGGTCCTCGAGATTCCTTTAAAATCGAAGAGAAAATGGCGGGGTATAGGTTGGGTAATAATTTTTCCGGCAGCAAAGTTTGTATATATACAATGACAAGCTAATGACAAGCATGATATTAGGAGATGCATTCTAAGCCAAAGTAAAGGTCGTGGCCCCAAAAATTTTCCTGGGGGCTTCACCCCCCGACCCCCTCATTAGTTTGCCCCCCCACTTTATTTACCCTGGCCACGCCGCTGTATGAGAGAGAGGGGGGAGGGGAGTGAGAGGGAGAATGAGAGAGAGGATAAGTCTAATATGCGAAGCTGAGCCTCGCCACAGCTATACCCATGAGGTGTAGACAGCCTATTTCGACTAGTGCCGACTCGCTAACATGTGTCAGATGGTGCTGACTCGGAAAACCTTAGTCCTTACGAGCCACAGCAGTAACCTCCAGGCGACAATTACAACTCGCGCCTGGGCTGGGCGCGAACTGTCGATCCCTGAGAGAGGCTGACACGTTACTAATGTAGTAGTCCGGTAGCTATGAGAAAGAGAGAGAGAGAGAAAGAGAGAGAGAGAGAGAGAGAGAGAGAGAGAGAGAGAGAGAGAGAGAGAGAGAGAGAGAGAGAGAGAGAGAGAGAGAGAGAGAGAGAGAGAGAGAGGAGAGAGAGAGAGAGAGAGAGAGAAAGAGAAAGAGAAAGAGAGAGAGAGAGAGAGAGAGAAAGGGGGCGGGGGAGAGGGAGGGAGGATTAGGATGAGGAAAGTTCTGTGGGGGTCAGAATTTGTGAAGGAGGTGATGGCAGGTGATGTTGATGCAGAAAACTAAGATCATATCATGTGTCATTCCTTTTAATGTATAATACAGAAGATAAGAACATTCGAAATGGTAGGTTTGAATGATCGTTGTTAGAACCGCAGTAGAGACCTCTGAAGCACCTCACTATTCCAGCACCCTCAGGCAACGCTGCCACGTACTCAGGAGAAAGCCTACTTTATTTTAGCCACAGTTTCTTCTTAATGTAATTTGATCTTATGCTAGTTTGTTGAAGTTCATTTATTTCAATAGATATTATTTGAAAGGAAGGTCAAATGATTTTTTTACCTCCTGGAAATAACTTTAACATTTAGTTTTATATTTCATATTCGTTCAAGCGTATTTTGTTTGTTTGTTTTTTTCGTTTTTTTTCTCCCTTTTTTAGACATTTAGTTGAACCGGACGTTGTAGGAATTCTTATTACTGATTATTGTAGCATTTGATTAATGTTATTCACGGAGTCTAGCTGGACCTCTGCTTTACTCGGGCCTGCTGGAACGCATGCGCAATGTTTGTTAGCTTCAGCTGATCGTGACGTCATTGCCACGTGTCCGTCAGTGTCGAGCGATCTGTGGTGGTGAACAGACAACGCGTTGTTGTGGGCAGATTTTGTTTTGTTTTAGTGTAGTTTTGGAACAGAAAAAAAATCGACGCTTCGATTAAAGAAGGCTTGCATTTTCTTACATTTTCTTAATTCCTGTGCTTCCATTTGCAGTATAATATTAACTTAAAATATTCGATGGATTTTTATGGCTATTTTAGTATTGTTCAATCAAGATTTTATCAGATACTGTGATGCGTTCCGATTAAATAATAATAAAAAAAGGTGAATCGCGAGTAATCATGGTCCAGCTGTCAGAGGACGGTGGCATTCCGAGACCCTCTACGTCCACACACGACCGCAGTTTGATGATGCAACCATCTCAGCTGACTGGAGACAACAGGCCTGGCGTGAACCAGCATCACACTCACCTTGCATCCGTGAGACCCAGCGTCACCTTACCCTCGGCTCAGGACCACCATCGTGGAATGGGCAGTTGTGGGAATGGTGCTACTAGTAATGGCAATGTGGCAAGTGGTAGCAGCTGTGAAGTCAGTAGTACCCGAGATGAAATGGGAGGAGGAATGCCATTGTCAGTGGATGGTACTTCTCATTTTTCCTCTGAGTCTCGGCAAGCTGGGAATGTTAAGTTGAGAAATGAACACCCCTACTTGGATCTTGGGAGACAGCCCCCACCTAGAGGCCGATGGTCATATTACGAAGACCTGAGAGCAAGACATGAGCAAGTGTTTCTTAGAGATCCAAAAGATGAAAGGCATGAAATCAAGAGAGAACCCAGAGATTATAGAGATAGAAGAGAACTTGACAGAAGGGACTATAGAAGCCACAGAGATGACAAAAGAGACCTCGGAGACTACAGGGTTCGAAGAGACCTTGAGAGAAGGGACCTCAGAGATTACAGGGATCGAAGAGATAACAGAAGAGATTTCAGAGACGAAAGGAGGTATGCCAGAGATGATAGGCTGGATGTGAGGTGTGGCCGGCGAGAACTTAGAGGTGAGGGAGGGGAACCTCAAAGGGATGCCAGAAGCCAAAGGGAGGACAGGGGGGAGGGGAGGGACAGCAGAGAAGTGGGGGAGAGCCACCACCAGGAAAGAAAACATGAGGGTGAAAGAGCCTCAGTTGTTGATGACCATCAGGTAGGTGATGGTCAGAATAATTTTTCGAAAGTGGATTTTGGATCTACACCAGTGAAAGCTGAAGTATTCGAGTCAAAGGAAGCAGATTCCAGAAGGAGCAAAGACTCCAATGATACTCGCGAGCGAACACCAGGGGCGGTACATAACCGTGATCGAGAACGAAACCAAGGAATTGACCTTGGACGAGGGCGCAACCTTGGCAGGGATCCTGAGCATGAACCTCTGCGTCGGGAACCAGTGGGAGAGGAAACTGGCTACGAGTCTGACCACTCCCGTATGTCCCGTACCACGGCGATGACAGGCTACTCCACTTCTTCTCGAAGTTTTAACTGGAGGCCAAGGGCTGATTCTGTAGCCTCTCAAGCCTCCGTTTTTTCTCACACGTCAGTCAGGCCTCCACTGACCTCAGGCAGAGGCACAAGGGGTAAGTAATTTGCAACATTGATTGATGATCCAGAAGGGCATTAATAGTGAGAGCCTTGTGTCAAATGATGGAATGTAAGAAATATATACAATGCATGTATATACATGTATAATGTATATGTATGTATATGCATAAGCATATATATGTATATATATATATATATATATATATATATATATATATATATATATATATATATATATATATATATATTATATATATATATATATATATATATATATATATATATTTATATATATATCTATATATATATATTATATATATATCTATATATATATTATATATATATCTATATATATATTTATATATATATATCTATCTATATATATTTATATATATATCTATCTATCTATATATATATATATATATATCTATCTATCTATATATATATATATATATATATAGATATATATCTATCTATATATATAGATATATAGATATATAGATATATATATATATATATAGATATGCTATATATATAGATATGCTATATATATAGATATGCTATATATATAGATATGCTATATATATATATATATATATATATATATAGAATAGATATGCGTATATATATGTATATTATATG